TATCCAAATCCAAACAAGAAATATAGAAATGATAATTAATTTTACCCTTCTAAATTTATCAACTAGAAACTTTTTATAACTGAGTTATCTGAAACATCACATTTACAAAAATTCTCTAACGTTAGAGAACAATTAGCAGAAGCTCAGAATCAGCAGCAAAAATATGCACATATTCTGCTAAAGAAATTTTTTTTCTCTGAACTTAAAGAAGGTTTAGCTAATTAGGCTACAAGTTTTGCAGATTCAACGACCATAGCAAAGTATAGAATCTGTGCTAGACAAACCAGAATAGTCATTAGATTCAGGAAATGACAAACTGCAATCTCTAGCAGCTTCTTGGCTAACTGTAATCAAACCATTAGCAAAACCATCCATTGTTCCTTGTGGTAAGATAGCATCTCCATCAAGATATTGGATTACTTGCCTCATAATAGGCCTAGCTGCTGGTATAGGCTGAACACAAAGAAGACCCAGCTTCAAAACCAATTCCATTTCTTCAACTATATAATCACCTTGTAATTTAGGATCACTTGTTTCAAGAATTACTCCTCTTCCGTAACAATCAAGAACCCAATCTACTAAAATAATCTCCCCGCCCTGTCTTTCTGCTTCTACAGGCTTCCTTCCACAAGCTACTTCAAGCATAAAAGTTCCAAAAGCAAAAACATCACTGCTTGTAGTAGCCTTTCCAGTTCTTGCAACTTCTGGAGCTAGATATCCAACAGTTCCAACTATGCAAGTTGTTTGAGGTGTAGAAGATACGAAAATCTTTAGTTACCAAAAGTTTATTTTATCCTTTTTGGTAAGAAGAATGAAAGACGATTTTTCCTATAATCAAAAAGATTTTCGAAGGCATTTTTATTTGGAAAATATTTTTTGAATAAGATGCTCTTACTAAAAACGAAAAGATTTCTCCCTTCATTTTAAGGTAAGAGAATGATAACTTGCAAATCCAACTTTTTTTTGTTGTTATATTTGTGTTAATTTGGTGTTATTTTGTGCTTAAAAGAGTGGTTTAACTTGATTTATTGTTTTTATGTTAGGAAAAGTTGGATTTGATACGAATAAAGCAAAAAGGAGCACAATTGAAATGTTTTGGAGCAAGGACGGAGCTGCTGGAATTTTGGAACACAAATACAAGTTGTTAGGCTCTTAGCCTTGGGCAAGACTAAGCAGGAAATCAGACCAGCGGACTGATTGTGACATTATTGGCTGGTCACCAGACTTCTTCAAACCTAATTCCCAGCACGTTTTACAATGCACACAGGAATAATTAGAACACAGGTTTAAGTGGGATTTTTATTGTATTAGTGGGACCCCACCTCTAGGAGCTGTATTTAAGGTCGAAATTAGGTCTTTTTGTGATATCTTCCGCCCCCCTGGGTTGTGACGAATTGACAGAATTTTTTGAGAGATTTCTACCGAACTTTCCAAAGTTCTTGTGAGGATGTTTCTTCCATAGTCATGTGTGGCTAAACGTGTCCTGCTTCAGTTAAAAGCTAATACCAAGGTAGATAGTTATTTCGATTGTGAAGATTATTATTTGAACTAATTAAATTTCCCTTTATCTATTGCTCTGCAGTAATCCTTTCTGTGCACTTGAAGTTGGGGGAAATATAAATATCCTAGCGAAATTCTATTGAAAATGATTTAAACAAGGGCCAGTTAATTGTTGGTTTGGTGTAGCAAATTTCCAATAGCTATTCCCGGACGTATATCAAAATCCGTAATGTTTGGTTAGGTTGATCAGTAGTCAATTAATAAACTTAATTGGGAAAGAATCTTTCTAGGCGTTTTATTAAGAAAAGAATATAATCAATTTAAATGGATGTCGTAGTTCCTGGGGTTAATCTGACAGGGTCTATTAGATTTTCAAGCGGTTAACAGTTAAATCCTGTCGTCGTACTTAGGATTGGCTAGTTGATTAGGTTGTTTTATAGATCGTATCTTACGCAAGCCTATTTTCCTACGGTAGAATTGGTTGTTGAGCCGTTCTTTCTGGCTATAACCGGTCTGCTAATTGAATTAAAGGAACTTAGATACTTGAAATCAATGATCACTCGAATCAAATTTTTCGATCCGCGGTATGCTTGCGCTGAATTTTTTCTATCAATTGTTCAGGTTCAATTTTAATTTTATTGGCATTTATCTTTTGATTTAATTTTAATCGTTTAGTATGCGAATTACTCTAGAATTACCGCTACACCCCGTTTCAATATCTATTTTAAATTTATTTCAAGTTTTGGGTCTATTTTCGACTAAAGCTAATCTAGGGTTCCGTCCTTCCTCACCCAATATTTAACAAGTTTATTTTGTACGGGGAAGCAAGTAATCCCTAGGGTTCGACCCTTCTCACCATATTTACAAGTTTTATTTTGTAGGAGAGCAGGTTAATTATTTTTGGCGGATTCGACGCCCGCCAAATTTTGGCGCCATTGCCGGGGATAAGTTAACTTTACTGTTTGTTGTCTTTTTGAATGACCAGGTCTGAAAATTTGCCAATATTGTTTGATCCTGATATAGAGAAAACAGCCCGCTCACTAAGGAGACAAGCGAAGGAGCGAAAGTGGGCCAAATCGACTTCCGGAACTGAACCGGAAAGTCCAGCAGCTGGTCACCTTGATTTTACAGCTAGAATCGAAGAAGAAAGTCTTGAGCAGGAAGAGATTCTTGCAAAAATTGACCAAGAGGAAGTTATGGCCAAAAACCGCACTGTTCGAGAGCTACAGGCTGCCCCTATAGAGCAGCAGCCTATGTATATTACTTACCCGGAGTTGGAAGTGCCATTTAAGCTTAAATCGGGTCTTATTCATCAACTTCCGTCAACTTCCGACTTTCCATGGAATGAAGACCGAAAACCCGCATAATCACTTGAAGGAATTCCATGGAGTTTGTTCTAGCATGAGACCGCAGGGGGTAACTGAAGAGCAAATTAAGTTGAGAGCATTCCCGTTCTCTCTTAAAGATGCTGCTAAGGAGTGGTTACTTAATCTACCTCCAGGTTCTATCACCACATGGCCTGATATGGCTCGAGCATTCTTGGACAAGTATTTTCCTGCTTCTAGGGCAGCCATCATACGAAGAGAAATTTGTGGGGTTAGACAAAAGGCTGGAGAGAGTCTTTATGACTATTGGGAGAGATTCAAGAAGTTATGTGCAGCCTGCCCGCAACATGGGATGTCTGAGCAGTCCCTAATATAATAAAGTACTTTTATGACAAGGGATGCTGACCATGGAAAGAAAGATGGTGATGCATGCTATGGGGGAAGCACTGTTACAGACTCACTCCGCAGCAAGAGAAAATAGTTCCATATAGGCCGCCAATTCACAACAATGGCCCAAGTTGAAGAACCCTCCAGAAGCTATACAAGTATGTAATTCTCCATTTCAGTCTCCAACTGACATGAACTAACCTCTATTGTACTCTATTCTGCAGGGCAATTCCTGGCTGAAGAACGTGTGCGAGGTGAATGTTTGCACGATCACCCCCAACTTGACACATGTCCCATATGGATGGTGGATCAAGAGCAATGTTAACGCTATGGGATGGATATTTTCGGCAGCCCCAAGACGATGGGTAATCACCTTCAAGTAGTACTGTGGAAGAAATCTCCTAATCTTAAGCTATGGAACCACTACCCAAAGATTTCCGAAGGGATCCAACCAGCTAGACACTCCTCATACAAAGCTCCCTCCCCAAAAATACCATTGGAAGATACTTGTGGGTCACTTGCCACTGTCTCACACAAAAATTTCCAGCAAGAAACAAAAAGGGAATGCAGAATATGGAACAACAAATTATGTCAACTTGCATCTTCCTTGAGTAGATTCGGAAACACAAGGGAAGCCTTCCTTCCCAAACGGTGGTAAACCCAGGGAAAAATGCAAGTGCGATCACTTTGAGGAGTGGTAAAAGGAGTCCAGCAGCCCCTAAAGAAAGGCACAGCGTTCTAAGGAAGAAGCTGAAAAGGAGGTATGACAATTTCACGCGAAATGGCCTTCCGAACAGCCTGAAGTACGGCAGCCCCAAATCTTTACTTTCAGCCTCTTTTCCGAGAGTTGGGTTAAAACACGGAAGGGATAAGTGAAGAGAAAGAACAATTTGGAGACCTTCGCAAGTGGAGGTGAATATTCCCAATTATTGGATGCTATTAAACCAAATACCGAAAAGTTTCTCAAGGAACTTTGTACCAACAAAAGGAAGGTAGATAGAGTTTGCTCCGCCATGATTCAAAGGAAGAGGCTCCCACCAAAGTGTAAAGATCGAGGTATGTTTGCTATTCCTTGTAAAATAGGCAATGTAGGGATTAAGAGATCTACGTGTGATTTAGGAGCTTCTATAAATGTCATGCCTTTATCTATTTACTCATCTTTCAAGGGTTGTCCCTTGAAAGAAACGCGTATTATTATTCAATTGGCAGACATGTCTATTGTGTATCCCGTGGGATTGCTAGAAGATGTTTTGGTTCAGGTTGGTGATTTAATTTTTCCAGCAGATTTTTATGTACTTAATATGGAGGATGATAAATCCTCGACTATAGCTGATTTGTTACTTGGGAGACCTTTTCTCCGCATTGCAAGGACAAAAATTGATGCCTATGAAGGCACATTATCTATAGAGTTCGATGGTGAGAAAGTCGAATTTAATGTTTATGAGGCTATGAAGTACCCTAGTGATGTGTCTAGTATTTGTTCTATTGATGTAATTGATCCTTTAGCATAAGAAATGTTTGAATAAGATGTTGTTGATGAGCTTGATTTAGTGCTTTGCAAGAATATTAATATGGACAGCATTAAAGAGATTGATGAGGAAACCTTCTTAGTTAATGAAAATGTACAGGAAATTGTGTGTGAGATGGAGACAAATCAGCCCCTAACAAGCAGCCACAGCCATATTGTTTTGCCTTCTCACCATGAGAAGCTTTTACCATCTGTTTTGCAGGCACCCAAGTTAGAGTTGAAACCGCTACCCGGCCACTTAAAATATGCATTTTTGGGGAATGGAGACACATTGCCTGTTATCATCTCCAGCAAACTTTGTGAGGTTGAAGGAAGAGAGCTTGGTTCAAGTTCTTAGGGAGTATAAAGAGGCCATAGGATGGACAATAGCAGATATTAAAGGGTTGAGTCCATCAACTTGTATGCACAAGATTCTTCTAGAAGAAGGCAGCAAACCCACAAAAGAAGCTCAAAGGAGGTTGAATCCACCTATGATGGAGGTGGTGAAGAAGGAAATACTGAAGTTGTTAGATGCTGGTATGATTTACCCGATTTCTGACAGTAAATGGGTAAGCCCTGTACAGGTAGTGCCTAAGAAGACAGGAATTACTGTAGTGGAGAATGCTGAAGGAGAGTTGCTTCCTACAAGAGTTCAAAATGGGTGGAGGATGTGCATAGATTATAGGAAGTTAAATGCAGCCACAAGAAAAGATCACTTCCCACTTCCATTTATTGACCAAATTGTTGGAAGATTAGCTGGTCGTGCTCATTATGTTGTCTTGAGGTTTTTCAGGCTTCCTTTCAAGATACCCAGTGGCACCCGAAGACAAGAGAAGACGACTTTCCACTTCCCTTTTGGTACATTTGCTTATGGCGATGCCCGTTTGGTCTTTGCAACGACAGCTACATTCCAAGGTGTATGGTTAGTATATTTTCAGATTTGTGAGGAGATTTATTGAGGTATTTATGGATGATTTACTATCTATGGTAATTGTTTGAATGAATTCTTAACTAAACCTACAAAAGTCTTAATAGAGGTGTAAATAGAATTCAAACCTAGTGCTGAAATTTATGAAAAATCCATTTTAATGGTGGCCAAGGTTTGCTTCTAGGACACATTGTTATCAAGCCCGGCATTAGGTTGACAAAGCTAAAATTGATGTAATTTAAAAATCCTTACTTACCCTGCAAGTGTTGCGGGAGATTCGTTCTTTTTCCTTGGCCATGCAGGTTTCTACAGACGCTTATTAAGGATTTTTCAAGATAGCTCAACGCTTTGCCAGCCTTTTGCAAAAAAGATTGTGCCTTTTGTGTTCATGGGGAGTGTAGGAAGCCGTTTGATATGTTGAAGGAGAAGCTCAATTTCTGCTCTCAATGTCAACCACCGATTGGAACTAATCCTTTTCGAGATTATGTGCGATGCGAGTAACTATGTCTGTAGGGGCTGTTCTTGGACACGTATTGAGAAGAATCCTCATGTCATATACTATGCATCAAGAACGCTTGGAGCAATGCCCAATGCAACTACTCTACACATGAGAAAGAGCTTTGGCGATCGTAGTTTTGCTTTGGAGAAGTTCAGGCCGTATTTGTTAGTGATACAAAGGTGATAGTTTTTCTCTGACCGTATTTGTTAAAGAAGAAGGATTCCAAGCCCCGTTTGATTCATTGGATTCTTTTGCTTCAAGAGTTTGATATAGAGATAAGAGATAAAAAGGGGTCCGAGAATCTTGTTGCTGATCACCTTAGCCGGTTGATTTTGAATGAAAAGCCATCACCATTGGATGATGATTTTTCGAATGAGCAACTCTTTAGCTTCCAAAAAGTTATTCCATGGTATGCTGATATAGTGAATTATTTAATTGCAGGTACTTTACCAGAAAATTTAACTAGAGCTGCGAAAGATAAAATCAAGAGAGATGCTAAGTATTTTGTTTGGGATGATCCATACTTGTGGAAGTTTTGTTCTGACCAGGTGATTAGAAGATGTGTTATGGATGTGGAAGTGCCATCCATTCTGAAATTCTGCCATTCATCTGCCATTCATCAGCTTTGGAGGTCGGTCCTCAACGAACAGCTCGCAAGATTCTGGAGTGTGGACTTTTCTGGCCATCAATGTTTAAAGACTCGTACATTTATTGCAAATCTTGCGAAAATTGCCAAAAGACAGGTAATTTGAGTCGTAGAGATCAGATGCCCCTTACCTCTATTCTTATTTGTGAGATTTTTGATGTGTGGGGTATAGATTTTATGGGGCCATTCCCATCAGAACAGCTACATATTGTTGGCAGTGGATTACGTGTCCAAATGAAATGGGTTGAAGCTAAGGCAACTCGGACTGATGATGCGAAGACAGTAGTGAATTTTGTCAAGAGCCATATTTTTTCTCGGTTTGGAATTCCAAGAGCAATTATGAGTGATCGAGGAACTCATTTCTGTAACAAGATTATGGAGAATCTGTTCAAGAAGTATGGTATTATGCATCGTGTCTCTACAGCCTACCACCCGCAGACAAGTGGACAAGCAGAAGTTTTGAATAGGGAAGTGAAGTCTATACTGGAAAAAACTGTGAGTCCTAATAGAAAAGATTGGAGTGTCAGGCTGGACGACGCTTTATGGGCTTATAGGACAGCGTATAAGACACCGATAGGAATGTCACCTTATCGTAGTTTATGGCAACATGTCATTTGCTGTCGAGTTGGAGCACCGCGCATTTTGGGCTATTCAGCGCTGCAATATGCAATATGTGAAGCTGTGATAACTCGAAAATTAACAATTGGAAGAGCTTGAGGAAATCGCATGAAGCTATGAAAGCTCCCAGAATATACAAAGAGAGACAAGGCTTTCCATGATGGTCAATGCTATACAGGAAAGAGCTTTGTAGTGTGGTCAAAAAGTTCTATTATTTCATTCTAAACTCAAATTATTCCTGGAAGTTATAGGTCCAGATGGACTGTGTCCATTTTGTTGTTTACTATGTTTTTGCTCATGGTGCAGTGGAAATTCAAGTCAGAAGACCAAAACTTTTAGGTGAATGGGCATCGATTGAAACCATTTTATGAAGGTTTTGGAGCTACTCAATCAGAGAATTTGAGGCTCGAAGAGCCAGGGGAATATAGCTGATTAGCTCAAGAACGTCTAGCCGGAGATGTTAAAATCAAGCGCTTACTGGGAGGCAACCCAGCATTTAGTTTCTGTTTCATTTTATTTTATATTTTTTTTTCTCTGAATTTTCATTATTATTTTTTTTTCTTTATTTATTTATTTTTTTTTTTTGAAAAAAAAAAACAACAAAAAATTGCATGAACAGTGTCGTCCCTAACCTGGGGACACTGTGTTTTTCTGGGTTTAACTGGTCAAGAGTCTAGTAGCAAAGCTTCTATGGGGTTTTAAAAAATTGGCAATGGTTAAAAAATTGTTTATTTTGTAATTTTTATTGGTGTTCGTTGGGTGAGTAAGAGAGTTTAATCATTTTGAAAGAGGTATATTTGGACCTTTTTTTTTATTTTTATTCGACTTAGAGTTTTTTTTTTCTTTTTCTTTTATTCAGCTACTTTGTTATTATACTGGGTAAAAATAATAATAATAATAATAATAATAGCTGGTTATATTTGTGCGGCAACAGTAAAGAAAACAAAAAAGAAAAAAAAAGAGAGAATAAGAGAACCCAAACAGGGGCAGCAGGCACAATAGGGGCAGGAGGCGCTCTTTCGATGAAACCTGCGTTGGCTGAGATTCTTGAACGACGGCAGGAGTTCTGAAGATCGACGACAAGAATTTTGTCACTCCGATCGACAACCTAAAACCCAAACAGACTTTTGTTTCGTCCTTAGCCCAATCCTACGTCACTTTACAGCGCGACGCAAAATCCAACAGCAGCGTCTTCCTTCCTCATCTGATTCCTTTCCGTGCCAACTTCAGCAACAGGTATTAATTTACTTCCTATTAGAATAGAAATCGTGATTTAAGATAGTGTCTGTGCTCCAATTTACTGCATTGTCATCGATTTCAATTGGGTTTTTTTTTTAGTTAATCAATTGTTGCGGAATTTGAATTAGGGAAGAATTTAGGTATATTATAGATTGTTGGCTGAAGCTATTTGAGCACATTATGATTTATGGGTTTTGTTGTTTCGCAAGTTTTTATTAGGTTTTATTGCTTAACTTTGCAATACTTGCTGAAGGGGAAGTTTTTATAATTTTCTTGCTTGTTGATAATTCGAATTTTGTTTAAATTGGAGTTGGAATTGATAACTGAGTGGAAACTGAGTGGAGTTCGATCGCCTGAATTTAATGAGTTGGGTTAAATTCTAGAGGGAGGCTTTTATTGACTAAAATTCAGTGGTCAATTGGATTTGGATCAATTTTTGGGGTTTAAAAATTAGTAATTTGAATATGAGTCTCTTAAAACTTTTAGAATCTGTCTGTCATTGTTTTAAACTAAGTTGCTTGCCCTGTTTTGGGCTAATGTTGTTTAAATGCCCAATGTCCAGTATTTGGAAATTTGATTGATAGTTGAAGCAGAATTGTTATTAAGTTGAACTGATTTTGCTTTGCTGGCTCTTTGCTTGGTTTTAACATCTTTGCGGTAATAGAAAGGCTGACATTAACATTTGCAGACTAACAACTCTATTTTGGGTTTGCTTTTTGTTCTTTGTTTTTCTTTGTTGTGGTTTTTGGTGTTTTGTGTTTTCAGTTGGCATTCAGGAGAGCCTAGAGCATATTCTTAATGCTAAACAGGGGAGTTTCCCTTCACCAGGCAGTTTCCTTCACAACTTTCCCATTTTATTTAAACATTTTAAGCCTTGAGTACATGAAGGACAAATGTGTGAGTAAAGTGTGGGGAGGGGAATGTGACGATCCTTTGCTGAAATTTTAATTTTAATTACTGCCATGTGTTGTCTTTGAGTACTTGCTATGTTTATTGTGCTTGCCATGTGCAATATTGTATGAACTTCGACCGGTTTTGAAACTGTTTTGTAAAAATGCTTTCCTACAGAGTTTTTATTTACCCCAAACTCACTTTCCATGAATAGTTTTAGTTTTTATTTACCACTTATCCCATGAATATTTTGAGTAAAATTTTTTATTTTTGAGCTGCATTTGGGATTACTCTGGGACTTAATTGTGTCTTTAAACATGATTTAGAATTTATAGGATATCTAGAGAGGATAACTTTGCTTTTGAAACTTGGTCTGACTATTGTGAGAGCCCTAGACAACAAGACTTAGCAAGCGAAAACCATAACTTGAAATTGACCGTCATTGCACTCGTGAATCTTGGTTTAAATTGTTTACACTTTGAATTCTCAAATCGGGTTTTCGAAACTTAGCCTCTTTTGATAAGTGTTTTTGAGAGCATTTGGAAGCATCCGTTGAAAAAAAAATTTTAGGAAGTCCTCCGAACACT